GTAAATACTAAAATATATTTTTTACCATTACTGCTTGGTAATGGACCAAGAAAATCTCCAGTTAAACGTTGTAGAGGTTGACATATAAGTAATGGAATTGGTTTTAAACATCCTGCTGGTTTAGTTGATGTTGGTTTATTAATTTGACATAAATGACAAGTTATTATATATTCTGTCACATCTTTAATGAGACTAGGCCAAAAATATCTTAATTGTATTTTTTTTATAGTTTTACTAATTCCAGAGTGAGATGATAATGGAATATCATGATGATTTTTTATAATATCCCTTACAAGAGCTTGTGGTACTACTAATAGATTATTAATATTTTGTTTTGGTATAAATTGTTTTAAATATAATATATCTTTTATTAATGTATATCTTCTAGACATTTTCTTAAATTTGTTTGGAACATCTTGTCCTTTTATAGCTTTTATTANTATCTTTTATTAATGTATATCTTCGAGACATTTTCTTAAATTTGTTTGGAATATCTTGTCCTTTTATAGCTTTAATTAATTCTGAGCAAAATTTATCTTCAGTTTGATATTTTATAATATCTATGTTATTTGAAAACTCTATGTCTTCAATATTATTGATGAGAGAATTATTATCATTAGGCCATTGTTGTTTTTCAATTATATCATAATATAAATTATTTTCATATTTTTCTATATTTCTTTCATAATTATCATTTTTATTGTCATGATTTTCATTAGTATAAAATCTAAATATTTTTCTTTCATTTTCATAATTTTCTTCAGTTTCCTCATCATTAAAATTTCTATCATGAGTTCAAGTATTTATATAATTATCCCCATTATTTTTGTTTTCTATATTATCGATAATATTTATATTATTTTTATAATAATTATCATGTTGACATATATTCTCTATATTTTCAGAGTTACTTTTATATTCAACATTTTTATGCATATTTTTAATGCTATTATAATCATCATTTATGATTTCATTAAAATTACTGTATTGATTTATTTTTATCTCACTACCAATGTTTTTTTTATATTGATGTACGTTACTTGAAATAATATTATTCATGTTACATTGATTTTTATTTTTGAAACAGTCAATACTATTACACTTGCATTGCTTTAATTTTTCTAAGCCAATGTCTTTATTATATTGAGGTACGTTTCCTGATATTTCAATGTTGTTTTTAAATGAATATTTATTATCTAAACTGTCAATATTTTCTACATTGCATTGGTCTATAGTGTTTAGATTATCAATACNCATTGGTCAATAGTGTTTAGATTATCAATACTATCGTAATTTCCATATATTTTATTATTTTCATGACTTATATTCTTGGGGTTCAAAATTGTATTGTTAAATTTTATCATATTATTCTCATCATTTGTTTTAATTGGCCTATTAATATTCTTATTATAAATATGTTCTTTCTCAATTNAGCCTATTAATATTCTTATTATCAATATGTTCTTTCTCAATTTCATCAATTTTTATATTATTATTTAATTTATTCGAATCATAGTAATTAGAAATTATTGTATCTACTATATTCATTATTCCTTCTCTCGATAGACAGTCACAGACTAAGTTTTCTTTACCTGGCTTATGCTTAATTACAAAATCATAATCTAATATTTTTAATGTTAGACGAGCTATTCTGGCTGATGGTATTTTTAAATTTTTATAGTATTGTAGGCTTATGTTGTCTGAATATACTGTGAAGAATCGTCCCATTAAGAACTCTCGAAAAAATGTTATGCCAAAAACTAATCCAAGAAGTTCTAAAGTTGTACTAGAGTATGTTTTTTCAGAATTAAGGAGCTTTCTAGATGCATAACCTATAGGTCTCAGTATATTATTATCAAATTTTTGTTCTAATACACTTCCTAAGGAATTTATACTAGCATCGACTGTTAGAAAGGTTTCTTTTTCGTTAAAGAAATGTGCAAGCACAGGTTCTGAAGTTAAACTTTCTTTAAGTTTATTAAATGCTACCTCATGTTCAGGTTTCCATATGACTTTCTTCGGTGTATCTACCTTTGTTAATTCGAAGAGAGGATAAGCTATTTTGGAAAAGTCTTTTATTAGTCGTCTATAATAACTACACATGCCTAAAAAGCTACGGACTTGTTTGGGAGTTTTAGGTGTTGAAAATTCTGTGATAGCCCTAGTATTTCTTGTTAATGGTGTGATACCATTAACAAGAAATATTATGACCAAGTAATTCAATGCTCTCAGAAAAGAAATTACATTTAGATGTTTTTAAAGACAATGAATATCAATCTAATACTGTAAAAACTTTTTCTAAATTGATCATTGCAGAATTAAAATCTCTGCCAAAGGTGGCTAAATCATCAATAAAAATTATAACAAAGTTATATAAATGGTCAGAGAAAGCTCTATTTAGTTCTCTTTGGAAAATAGCACTGGAATTACGAAATCCTTGTGGTAATCTAGTGAAAGTCATTAAACCACGCACTGTAGTAAATGCAAGTTTATATTGATCTTGTTTTCTTACTGGAATTTGAAAAAATCCGCTGTTTAAATCGAAACATGTGAAGTATATTGATCCTTCCAAAGCTCGAAATAAATCTACTGTTCTAGGTAATGGATAATAGTCTGGTAAAACTAAATTATTTAAATCCTTGTATGACACTACTAGTCTATATGTATTCTTTTCCTTTTTTCGTATTAAGAATGCAGGAGAAGCAAAATTTGATTTAGTATGTGTGACTATTTTAGCCTCTAATAATTTATCTAGTTGATTTTTTAATTCTTGTCTTTGTTCAGGTGAAACTCTATGTGGTGAACAAAATTTAGTTTGTTGTGCATTTTCTTTTAATTTTATTTCACAAGGTTCTACTTTTGCAGGTTTTATTTTTGATGTATCTGTTGTAAATAGGTGTTTGTATTTTTTGATTAGATTTATAACAATATTATGTTGTTTAATAGTTAATTGTTCGGATATAGTGATTTGCGTGCCTTCGGAATCGCAGATTTATTCTTTTTGTTCTATATTTATCAAATTAATACATTCTTGATAAGAAGAGTTAGTAATTGAATTTTTGTTGAAAGTTTTCCTAACTATATCTAATGATATAAAATTCGTAGTATGAATTATTTGTTTTGGAATTCTAGAAGAAGTTTTATTATTTTTTATTATAGTTCCAGGACACCAGTGAGTTTCTTTATTTAAATGATAAAGAACTACAGGAGGTCTATTTCCTGTTCCGAATACATAACCTATTTTAGTCTGATCGGAATAAATATAAGTATCAAATCCATAATGGTTAGCTACTGCTGCTAGATAATCATCAGGCCACCATATGTTTGGAATTTCTGATAGATTTATTAACTCTAAGATATTCTTTAGATCTACCACTTTAATATTTTTATTATCATTAATAGCGTTAATAATAGAAAATAGGCCACAGTTGCCATCTGATGGTACATTTTCTCCTAATTGATATCTAGAAAATATATCTAAATATTTTTTATCAATATTTGAAGGACTTTCTTTTTTAATAAAAGATTTCATTTTTGTTTGAATGTTAGAAATAATTTTATTTGTTTTTTCTGGTTTTTGTGGATAACATATGAGAATATTAATATTTTGTTTATTGAATACTACAAAAATCATATCTTTTATTGTATTCCATAAAAGATGTTTATTTATTAGGTTTACAGCAGAAAAGGCTATACGCCTATAATTATTTTGTAGTGCTTCTTTTCTTAAACTATAAAAACTTTCAAATAAATCTAAATATGATGTAGGTGAATTATGAAATTGTTTTACAATTAAACAGTGTATTATATGAATTTCATGATTAATTGTTACTACTTGTCCTAATTGTAAATTTTCATTATTATGGTTATGAATATATGTGTCAGGAATGGTTCTTGAAATTTCATTGACATATTGCAGATCACAAGATGTACACTGTGCAATAGAATATACCTTTGGTATTTGAGTTAGAATATCTAGATGTGTTTCAAAGATATTATTTGAATTACTAGATATTATACTAGTTTGAACGTTATAAATTTTATCTTCAAAAAATATTCCATTTTTTATTATATTTGCTGTTGATTGTTCTTTAGATATATTATTTGTTATACTTGGAAATTTATTGTTCATTATAGGAATTTTAATTTTGTTATTTAATGTTAATGTTTGATTTGAATAATTTATTTTTGCATTATTGCTAGTTAAAAATTCATTTCCAAGAATTATTGTGCTAGTTAAATTTTCTATAACACATGCATTAATTGAAAAGTTTTTATTTTTTATTTGTATAGTAATGACAATAGTACCTAATAATTTCAATGGAGAATTGTCAGGTCCTGATAAAGTATAATTGTGTATTGTGCTTATTTTTGAAATATCTATTAAATTAGGTCTGATTGCATTAATATTTGCACCTGTATCTATAGTTACTTGTATTGGTTCATTGTCTAATTGTGCTATTATATAAAGTGCATTGGCTTTCCTGTTCTGATTAAACATTATTAATATAGAATCATTTTGAATTTTAGAATCTAATGAATTGATTGGGTTTGAAGGGAAATGGCACCCATTTATTTCATTTGACCTATCGATGCGTTTTTTTGATTTTGATTTTTATTATTTTTTGAATAACAATCCTTTGCAGTATGATAGCGTTTATGACAAATATCACATTGTAACATAGCTTTGCAATTTTTGAAGGAATGATTATTAGATTTGCAAAAAGAACAATATAAAGATTCGATGTTATTTTGAACAGCGTGATCAAATTTGTTGTTAAATTGTTTGTAATTATTGTTCAAATTATTTTGATTGTTGTTTCTTATGTCATTTAAATTAAATTTATTATTATTAATATTTCTATTTATGGAATTATATCTATTATCATTTCTATAATTATTATTTCTTTGGTTATTATTATAATTGTTTTGATAATTATTGTATTTTGAATTATTTTTATTTATATCATATTTGTTTTGGAACTGTTGTTTATTAAAATCTCTTTGATTATTTAAAGCATAATTGTAATTATTGGCGTTCAAATTTTTGTTATAATAATGTCTGTTTTGTGAAATATTGGCATTATAAATCATTTTTTCTATTCTGGAAATTTGTGACAATAATGTATTTAACTGATTTTGAGTGTTATCATTAATGTTAAATAAATTTTCATTTGCTATTTCTTTTTTTATTTCATGAGAGGATTGTGTAGTAATACCTTCAATCATAAATTCTACAGATTCATATTTGCGAATGTTTTGTTATAGTTCGTCTAAGGTTTTGTTGTCTAAAATTCCTACATATCGTGCTACCTTTGGTTGTAGACCTTTCATTACCGCATGTACTAATTCAGATTGAGACATTTTAGGATCTATTTTTTTACATAAATTCTGAACATCATTCAAATAACTAACTAGAGATTCGTCAGGAAGTTGACGTCTTTTAGCTAACAATGTTCTAAGCATATGAGTTTGAGTAACTAGTTGAAATTCAGATAAAAGGGCTTGTTGTACTTCTGACCAAGAAGCAATAGAATTACAAAAATCGAAATTATCAAGAAATATTGATGCTGTTTCATCAAGATAAATAGCTAAGAATGATTTTTTCTGTTCGTCAGACCAGCCATTTATATCACCAGCTTTATTATATTTATTTAAAAATGTGTTTATATTTTCATGTATTGACCCAGAGAATTTTTGTGGTTTACAAAAAGGTACTCTTTCCGACATATTGTTATTATGCTGAATTTGTATAGGACTCGAATTATAGATAGTATTTTTATTAGATTTTAAATTTGTTGTTTCACAAAAGGAAAATTGTTTGCTAGTACTTGGAATTTCAGAAATAGTAGCGTAATCTGATTCAAGTAATTCGTTTCTAATATACCTGCGTAATCGATCTTTAAGATTTGTTAATGTACCNTATATACCGGCGTAATCGATCTTTAAGATTTGTTAATGTGCCAGTAGTATTTAAATTTCGCTCATTTAATTTTTCATAAGCTGAGTTATATTGAACTTTGTTAATAAATTCTTCTTTATCTATTGCTTCGTTTAATGTATATAACGCGCCAGTGAAAATAGTATTAATTAGTTTTTCATAAGAATTATTGTCCATTTACAATAGTGTTTTGATTATTATTAATGTCAAATAATGAAGTTGTGTAACTAAACTCCAATAATTGTATTAGTTCGATTATAATCTGTGCTACATTTTTGGGATATAGAAAACCTCTTATTGTGAATGAAATAAGAAAATTGGAATAATTTTGACTTATACTTTTTTCTTTAATATTTAATTGTTTTGCTGCTTTGCTACAGACATGTTTTATATTAAGTTTATAAATGTTTATGTTATTAATTTTATTATTATATTTGTATTCTGTGATATAGATTTTTATAATTTCTTTTAAAAATGTGTTAAAAGAAAAATTTGTATGAATATTTGCTGTATCATTATTGTTGGACATTTGTTTGAAAATTAATATAAGTATTTTCTAAAACTTGAACTAGTTCTAATAATAGTTCTGTGGAATTTTCTGGATAAATAATACCTCTATTCAAGTTTTCTTCAAAAAAATGAAGAAACCCATAAACTCTTTTGGTTGAATATTGATTATTTTCTTTAGTGGTTTTGACAATAATATCTGTTAGGAATTTTGTGAAGTCGTTATAAGTTTCAAATACTATTTCGTCTGTATATTCAGTTAATATAGCTTTGATTATTTGTTTAATAGTTATTCTGGCAATTTCAATTGGTAAAAGGATCATTTGAGTTACTTTCGGTTTATTTAGTACAGATTACTTTATAAATATCTTCTACTGCGAATTCATAGAAAAATCTTAATAAAGTAGTTATTTTTATTATTAAAAATAATTCGTTCGAAGGAATTGTGTTTCTTTCTGTAAAAAGGTTTATAAATCTGATTATTATAATAATTTTATCTTTAGGTATATCGTAAAGAAGAGATATTTTCCAGAGTGTTTCGTTTATAGTTTTGCGAAGTTGTGCTTTATGAGCGATTTTTTTGTTAGTGAAATTGTTTATTAAAATTCTTAATAATATTTTTGTGACTTATAAATTCATATTTTGTTGGTAAACTCATTTTATGTATTTATTACAAAAATTGATATATATGTATATATATATATTTTCTCCCTTTTTTTTTTGTTTAATTTTGAAGAATATACGTTAATTTTTTAATTTTATTATAATATTAATAATGTGATCAGAATGTTATGGTCGGGGTTACAAGTATTTATTGGGCGTCATTTTGTCATAAAAAAGAAAAATGGTAATAGGTTATGGATATAGATATTAATTATAATAATAAAAAGAATGAAGAGAGATAAAATAATTGGCCATATGTGTGATATTTATATTTTTTATAATTAAGAAAGAGGAATAATAATAGAATATAGATGTTATATATAGATGTTATGGTTAACGGATTGTTGAAGTACGTTTAGCTACAAGGTGAAAATAAAGCATGCTATATATATATTCATGAACTCTTTATTAAGATACTACCACCACACGTGGTTTGTCGTAAAAAGTAAATTGAAGGAAAATTATAATCGATATGACGCACACCTGAGTCATATTAATTCTACAATGAAATGTGCAATGATTATAGATGAGGATTTTACGACTCTTAATATTTATTGGTCATGCTATATGAATGGGAAACAATGTATGTTCATGTAAGATGCTACTGTCCAATTGTTGGGCGCCAAGCCTTAATGGCTGAATTAATCATTATACAAGTTAAAACATCTACGTTGAACGCGTACTATTATGATCCGAATGGTGAGAAAGTAGTTATTAATAACTTATCAAATTATCCACCTTTAACAATTCTATTATTCCCTCGATAAAAGTTATTCTTGATTTATCTTAAGTCTATCCTTAATTTTATGACATGCTTAGAAATATAATTTCTTACCTTGTGTCCAGCTAGCTTGATTGTTTATTGCGTAAAATATATATATATATATATATATATAAAGAGAGCACTGACTTTTATCTACTTATTAATTTTTGTAAAATTATGCAAATTATTAAACTTGAAATATTACTTCACTGTAGTTCCTTTCTATACTTGGTGTCTGAGTATATGTGTTACTTTATATTTTAAAATAAGAAAAATTATAATCAGATAGTTTATGAGAACCAATCCCTAGTGACACGTCATAAACNTTTTTCATTGTGAAGAAAAAATAAAGACCGAAATTTTTTTTTTTTATAGTAAAGTATATTACATTAGCTTTAATTTAAGATATACATAAAAGTGTCAGACTTTCCGGAACAGTTTCAAAATTTAAGTTGAAAAAGTACATTTTTTGTGAAAAAGTGGTCATTTTAAATCCCCCCCTGTGGGCAAGTAAAGGGTCAGATATAAAAAAAATATATACGAAATGATAGGTAAAGACATCATGCATCTATAAAAAAAAATTTATATTGATCCATACATCTTTCAAAAAGTTATAGCATTATAAAGTTAAAAATATAAAAAAGAATTTTTTTACAAAAATCGTATTTTTTTTATAAACTTTGATGTCTGTTTTCACCATGAAGATAAAATAAAGTCCGAAATTTTTTTTTTCCATAATAAAGTATATTACATTAGCTTTAATTTAAGATATATATAAAAGTGTCAGACCTTCCGGAACACTTTCAAAATTTAAGTTGAAAAAGTTCTACTTTTTACATGCATCTTTTAGATTTGAACCCCCCTCGTATATAGGGAAATGGTCGGATTTAAAAAAACAGTATGTCAAAAGAAAGATGTATATGAATACTACTCCTCATAAAAAAATTGTACTGATCCATACATTTTTCAAAAAGTTATAGCATAATAATGTTAAAAATGTAAAATACAAAATCGAAAATTTTCACACAAAAATAGCATTCGGTAGCCATTTTCACCGTGAAGATAAAATAAAGTCCGAAATTTTTTTTTTTCATGATAAAGCATATTACATTAGCTTTAATTTAAGATATATATAAAAGTGTCAGACCTTCCGGAACATTTTCAAAATTTAAGTTAAAAAAATTAATTTTTTGTGAAAAAGTTGTCATTTTAAATCCCCCCTTGTGGGCAGGTTAAGGGTTAAATTTATCAAAAAAATATACCAAATGAAAGGTAATGATATTATTCATCTATATAAAAAATAATTATATTGATATGTTTATTTTTGAAAAAGTTATGGCACTTTTAAGTAAAAAAAATTGAAAAAATTNTTTATGGCACTTTTAAGTAAAAAAAAAACCCAGTACAGGGGGGTCGCGGCACAGTGGTGACGTGGCATAGATGGATCAAGTATAATGATATCTGACAGTGATTAAAATCACTATCAAAAAAAAACGCTTCGATGCAAATCTTTAGATAGTGTTTAATTTTAAAAAATTGGTGGATTATTCCAAAAGCTTCATAAACTGCTAGTTCCTTATTAATATCCTGATTAAGACAAAGTATGTAGAATAAAAAAGAGATTATTAGAAAATAGTATTTCCCATAAAAAAATTATATTGATCAATACACTTTTCAATAAGTTATAGCATTATAATGTTAAAAATGTAAAAAATAAAATTGAGAATTTTCACACAATAATAGCATTTGGTAGCCATTTTCACCTTGAAGATAAAATAAAGTCCGAAATTTTTTTTTTCCATGATAAAGTATATTACATTAGCTTTAATTTAAGATATATATAAAAGTGTCAGACTTTCCGGAACACTTTCAAAATTTAAGTTGAAAAAGTCAATTTTTTGTGAAAAAGTTGTCATTTTGAATCCCCCCCTGTAGGCAGGTAAAAAGTCAGATTTATAAAAAAAATATACCAAATGATAGGTAAAGACATCATGCATCTACAAAAAAAAGAATTATATTGATCCATACATCTTTCGAGAAGTTATAGCATTATAAAGTTAAAAATATAAAAAAGAATTTTTTTACAAAAATCGTATTTTTTTTATTAAGTTTAATGTCTGTTTTCACCATGAAGATAAAATAAAGTCCGAAATTTTTTTTTACCATTATAAAGTATATTACATTAGCTTTAATTTAAGATATATATAAAAGTGTCAGACCTTCCGGCGAAGACAAGTTCAGAGGTCAAATTTTTTTTTGTCAAATTAAAGTATATTACATTAGATTTAATTTAAGATATATAGGGAAATGGTCCGATTTAAAAAAACAGTATGTCAAATGAAAGATGTATATAAGTACTACTCCCCGTGAAAAAATTGTACTGATCTATATATTTTTCAAAAAGTTATAGCATAATAATGTTAAAAATGGAAAATACAAAATCGAAAATTTTCACACAAAAATAGCATTCGGTAGCCATTTTCACCATGAAGATAAGATAAAGTCCGAAATTTTTTTTTTTCATGATAAAGCATATTACATTAGCTTTAATTTAAGATATATATAAAAGTGTCAGACCTTCCGGAACATTTTCAAAATTTAAGTTAAAAAAATTAATTTTTTGTGAAAAAGTTGTCATTTTAAATCCCCCCTTGTGGGCAGGTTAAGGGTTAAATTTATGAAAAAAATATACCAAATGAAAGGTAATGATATTATGCATCTATATAAAAAAGAATTATATTGATATGTTTATTTTTGAAAAAGTTATGGCACTTTTAAGTAAAAAAAATTGAAAAAATTTCGAAAATTAGCGATTTTTAAATTTGTAATTTTTTTGGAGGTTTTCCCCATTTACGGGAAACGAAGGAAATTTTTTCAATTTTTGAGAGTAATTCATTCGACTAGATACAATTTTTGATCTTTTGACGTATCTTTTGAAGTATCGTTGAAAGAAATCCGTTCGGCGAGAGCTGAAAAAAAGTGGTAACAGACACAAAAAAAAAAAAATCACATCTTAGTAAAACCAATACCTTCTCAGCTTCGCATCGAAGCTAAAAATTATATAACCAGATAGCTTATGAGAACCAATCCCTAGTGACACGTCATAAACTATTGTTTTATTTATAGTTTTAACCGCTTGATGTGCTAGGGTAATGACTTCAATAAACTATTAGTATTTATAGAATTGTGTATTTGATATGAGAGTCGACAGAGTTAGAGACAGGCTGGCTACACCATCGGATATATACTCGTCGATGCACGGACCTTACAGAGTCTAGAACTACT